CACGCAGCGACCGCGCAGCGGCCGCGCGCCGCCGCCAGGCGGCGACGCGGCTCCTGAGCGCCGCGCCGTCCGCGGCGGCGGCCGCGGACGCCGCCGCGGCCGCGCGCCACGTGCGGAGCGCGCCGCGCGAGGCCGGCGCGACGTGGCGGAGGCGCCGGAGCGCGGCCGCGACGTCCGCCGCGGCCGCGGGGCCCTCGACGTCGGCGACGCGCGCCTTCCACCAGCGGCCGAGCGCCGGCGCCGCGCCGCGGTGGAGCGCCTCCCAGCGCCGCCGCCACGCGCCGAGGCCCCGCGCGAGCCGCCGGCGCCGCGACCGCGCGCGGAGCGCCGCGGGCCCCGCGCCCGCCGCGAGGAAGCGGCCCAGGGCCGCGGACCGCGCGCGGGCCGCCCAGGCCGCGAGCGCCGCGCCGCAGGCCCGCCGCGCGAAGCGTGCGGCGCCGACCGCGGGCCGGCGCCGCGCGCGGCCCAGGAAAGAAAGGTGGATACTTGGTGGATACTAGCGGGATGGACAGTAGGAGCACAGTGGGGTAAAGTGCACTGCAACATCAAGGTGCAGTCTACTAGGATGAAACCTCCCTATCTCTCTAGCGGAGGCGGTCTTATGCCTGTCTTCTGCGTTCCGGAGTCACACATCCCGGGCGGGCGGTATGTCCGTAGGCACATCGGGCCCGTGACTATTGTGCCCCGTCTAAACTCCGGCCCACCGCACTGTGCCTGTGAGCATTGGCATGCGCCTCTTGTACTTCCTTGAATGAACTTAGAAGTCGGGAATGAACTTCCGGTGTGGATGCCAGGGGCTTTGCAGAAACAGAGCTGCCAAGATGAAATTGCAATGTGGAAATAGTAGCCAGGCGATTACTCAGAATAGTAAACGCAGCGGATTGGGGTAACAGCATCAGAAGTCCATACAAGCTCTTGAGCAAGAATGGATGGTAGGAGGTGTGCACTTCGAGAAGTTGCAGTCGGAGCTGGATGAACACAGGACTTTCCAATAGCTGCACCAATTTGTCAACCTGCATCAAAAAGCCGACTGTGATGTCGACATTGGCAAAGAGCGTGACTAATGCTGATGATAGCTCATAGGCTTGCGCGATGAGACAAAGCGCAAGCGTGGCTACAGGATTGTGGCACCAGCAACCAAACAGAGTCACGAACACAGCAGTCGCTTCCTTCGATGCTCCAGATTCTAGACTGGACCGAAGTAACAACCGCAGTTCATCTAACTCACGAGCAGTGAGGAGTATCAGATTTAAGGTTTGAACCATGATTGAGCGGAAGTCTAATTGGTCTTCGGAGAGTCTGATGGTTGGAATAGCGGGGACATCAACCAGGGCAAGATTCTCGCTTCCGGCTACGTAGTCATGCACTGGGCTTTGCAGTATGGTAGCAAGTGATATATATATGGACTTTGCATTCAGTAAAACGCATAGATTTCGGATAATCAACGATCCTCGTAGCTCAAGAAGGCGACGGTCCTCAGAAAAAAGCTGAAGTATTGCGTCCAACACTCGTTTGAATTCCGCATCACTTAAGAGAGAAATACGAGCAAGTACCTGAGTGAAAACTCCCTTGAACAACTCAAAATACAGAACAACTTAAAAATACCTCGAGGTTTGTCAAGACGACTTCGTCAGCCTCGTCAGATAGAGTGCTAAGAAGTGCTGGCAACAGCTCGGATATGAATTTGTTCATCTCCCCAGCTACCTTTTCGAGGAGCATATTGATCCATCGAAGTGCTGCCATGCGGGTTGGTATATAATGTGATCCTAGCTCCGATGTCAGGGTTTGGAGGAGTGGGGAGAGCTCAAACTCATTTGCAGTTTGTTTCACAAGATCGAGCAATTCAACATTTGTATAGCCAGCAACTTGGCGGATTTCAAGATCACTGTCCGAGATGCAGTACATGATGGAGCCCAGTAGCTCAGAATAAAAGAGCAACAGGCGATCCCCCCCCAGTTTAATAAATTCCTTCACCCAGGTAATGGCCGTGAGACGGTTAAAACGTTCTTTGTTGTGACATTGATTAACTAAGATACCAACCATGGGACCAAATTCCACGACTGGTGATTTTTTAATTTCATTTAGGAAACCAGCAATGGCAGAGTCTGCAGCTTGGCGAATCTCTCTGTTCGAATCAGAAAGCATATTAAATAGGCCGTCCAAAAAGTCGGGCAGCCAATCGAGCATATTGATATCTGGCACTGAG